AGTTTTTTTGTTACAACATCTCAGCCTTAATTCAGCATGTAGTTATATTTTACTTTCGTATAGGTAAGATCTAGCTCTTTCCTCACTCTCCACCCTTAGTTTCTAAAGGAGACAGTTACCCAGAAAGAAAACTATGCATATAAATATATATACATTATTCAAATGCATTTTTGATTAATTAGTAATTTAAATCTGTTATTTCTATACATTCTATGTCGTTGCACGTCACTAGCATTCAATATATGATCAAAGATGTGGTTATTAAACTATGTAGGCAAGATAACACGGAATATTGAAAGTACTACATCACTAAAAGTGTATTTGAATAATATATATATATATAGATACAAGTTTCTTTCTGGGTAATTGTCTCCTTTAGAAATTAAGAGTGGACAACAAAAATAGAGCCAGATCTTACTGTTACGAAAGTAAAATATAACTGCGTGTTGAATTAAGTTTAAGAAGCTGTAGCAAGAAGATAAATACAAATAATTGTTATCTATAAAATATAACAAATAAACACATAAAATAAAATTTTCGAAAATAGTCAAAAAAAATTGCATATAATTTGATGTTTCATTTGTGTTTTTCAATGCGTTTAAACGCTCAAAAATTTTTCACTATTTGTGAAAAAAAAAGTGATCGTTTTTTGCCATTAAAAATTTAGATGCCAAAAATCTGTACGAAGGGAACAAACTATATAGTAAATCAGGCACACTATTTTTAATACCAAATTAGTACAAAAAGTGACATGCTTGTCTGCTCGGGTAGTCAAGCAACGCCCTAGACACATGAATCATTGTAACACTCCGAAACTTTATCATTTGTTTATCTGTCTGTCATGTCTGTGTGTGTGAGGAGGGAAGGTCTAAATTTCTCGCTATATAACTTCAACACTCATTTGGCATCTCGCTGACTTTCGTCTGTTCTCATTCTCAGGTTGCAATCGAACAATTTTTTCTTAATTTCATAGTATGATTGAGGATGGATGAATATTGTTCCTTGGCTTTCTTCTGCAAGATCTCTGTATTTAGAAGAGAATGATGCCACTGGATCTTTGTCCTGATGATCATTCATGTTTTTTTTTAAATTTTCATTTTAAAAGATTAGCGTCTGTCACTTCAGATTTACAGTTGAATTTTCAGGGACCTAACAACTGAAAAAAAGTCATGATTTTCGTGAATTTTAGTAACTCTTTTCGCCTGTGTTATCGTTTTCGCTTATGTCAAATATTAAAGACTGTTGAGTGAAATAAGAGTCGATCATCAATTGTCAATCATTTTCTAAGAAATGAATTGTTTCTAGCAGTAGAAAGTTTAATGAAGTAATTTGATGGTATTTTTAAAAGACAAATAAATTTTAGACAAGTGTTCCCCAACATTGTATATCGTGACAATCACTTGTTGGATAAGTGTCGGGAATTATTTGTGTTTCAGTCGTTAATTCCAGTGCAGTACCGTCAGGGCCAGGAAAATTAACTTGAATGAGAAAGCCTTCCCAACCATCCATTGGATTTGCAATTGTTAGTGAATAGACAATTGTTGTGTTTGTTTCTGCCTACATTTGATTTTGAAAATTATTTATCAATTCAAAAAGAACCAAATTTTTACCTCGATGACAAGGTCAGTTGTAAACCAAAACACTGGATTTACCATCGATTTAGTTGGGTCATCTGGGTTAACAATGAGAAGACGAAAATCACGTCTGCTTACAAAAAAAGAAATATCTAAAATGGAAAAATATTTTTTCAAAGAAATCAAACCGCTTATTGTTTAACGTGCGAGCACGATAACCAAGAGCACTGATTGGTTTAGGTCCAACACTAAAATCGACTGTTGCACGAATATATCCATGTGTATTATTCGATGATTTTATCCATTGAAGTTGAGGTAATGGTCGGTTCTTAAAAAAGATAAAAATAGATGAATTGTTTCGTAGATTTTTTTTACATCTTAAATTTACATCGTATATACTCAAATAAAAACTTCGCATAGTGAAAAATAAACTTATTATATGTCCGATACATGTATGTTCAGCATTTGGTATTCGACTACAGAAAAAGAAATATCTATTTCATTATAGACAATAAAAAAACAAACGATTACCGAAGATACGTTCCACCTGTTGCAATTTGAAGTTTATTCCAAAAAGCTGCCTAAAAAGAAAAAAAAAGAACGAAAATGATCTTTCAATTTTTATTAATTTGAACACACCTCATTGTCGAGAAGAAAGAATTCATCTCCAGTCGATTGTATTTGTAAGATTTTCATTTTTGCATATCGATCAAAATAATCTATTAATTCATCAAAGAAATACTGTTCTTAATCAAGTAAAATTATTTGATAGAAGCCATACTTACAATATGGATCAATAGTTTCTGCCATTTGAGTGAAAATCTCTGAATCAATATATTGAGTTATATTCAAGTTAAAATAATCATTGAAAGCAAAAGTCCAACCAACCAAAGACTAGAAGAATTCTATAGAAATCGATCTAATTGATCATTCAATATACCCGATAATGATGATGCAAATTCTATTAAAACAAACTTTTTCAATGTAAAATTTAAAAAATCTCGTCTGAATGAAATCTTACAGTTTGAAAATTCAAAATATCCATAACAATAGGTATAGCAGCAATGACGCGTTCATTGTCGACAGCAGCTGTTAACCAAGCTGAATAGTTTAAATAAAATTCATTCAACGAATAATATTAATAAATAATGAAACTTACTTGGCCATCCACGCTATAAATTAGATTCATAACTGATTAAATATTCATATTAAAAAAAGAGAAAATTTACCTTTGAGGCACCTGCAAGAATAAATGTTTTTGGTGTAGTAATATTTTGATTATCTGTAAATTGTTGAACCGCATCCATTGCACGATATGATGCCTGTTTCGAATAAATTATGCAGAAATCGTTTTTAATAGAAAATGATTGAATACTTTTGTCATTGGTATATTTATAGGAGCATAAAGATTTGATGAATTATCAATGAATGTTTTCCAAGTCCAAGCAATCAACGAATCCTCATGACGACTTCGATTTGTTGGATCAGCCTATCATTAAATAGTTTAGAACAAAAGATCTCTCAAATTTGTCTATCAAAGAAGTCTACTGGAAAACGAATTGGTGCATTTGGAATATCTTGAAGATCAACGGCAATACTTCCCGTACCAACTGCAACCATCGATGTCAAAGCGACGAAATCATCTTGTGGTTGTGGAATGCTGAAAATAAGAATCTCTTCAATTGAAATTATCTTTTTATTTTCTAGAAAAGATTATTCTAACCGATCAGTATTGCTTCCTTGATCAATAAGCATGAAAGCAGTATTGGGTCGTGTTAATTTATGTGGTATAATAACACACAGATAATGCCACCAAATAGGTCGACTTGAAAATGTTTCTTAATCATACAATTATTTTCTTTCTAGTTCGCTTCTGAACTATTATTAAACTTACCATCGTACCATTTTTGTGATGTAAAATTAAGAATATATAGTTTGTAATCTGGTTCATCATACATTTGTATAAGACTCCAGCCAAAATGAGGATCTTCAGCACGAACGTAATCATCCAATGGAGTTGATTGACTTGAAATGACAATCAACAATATTATAGTTACAATATTCAAAATATTAATAAATGAGCTATGTTGATGCATTTTTTCAAAAACTTGCTCTAAGATATGTGAGAGAAAAAAAACAATATGGTTTGTATGGTTTTGTTTTGTTCTATTATTTTTTTTTGATAACTTATCTTATCTTATATGTGTTAACCAAAGCTACAGTGTTATAACACGAAAATCGACAATTTTATTTTAACTAGAAATGTCTTTGTCGTTGCGCTAGACTAATGAACATAATTTTGCGAAGTTATATAGTCTTAATTCGAAATGATTGCAACCGAAACTCTTTTAAAATTCGAATTTTGAAAATTTTCAATGATCCTAAAACATATCGAATGAAACAAAAACAGTTGTAAAATTTTATGGGTGTGGGTGTGTGAGTGTGGGTGGGGTGTGGGTGTGGGTGGTAGTGTGGGTGTGGGTGTGTGGCTGTGACTGTGGGTCTGGGTGTGGATCTGGGTGTCGGTGTAGATCTTCTGTTCACACTCGCACCCACACCAACACCCACACCCCACACCTACACTCACACCCACACACCCACCCATACCCACACCCACACTCTACGTTTTTTTCTTCGTCTTCTTCTGATTGTTGCACCAGCAACAATAATAAAATGGCTATAGATGAAAATGTAACGTTGTAACTTCGACTGCTGAAGATAAAAATGCGTAAAGATACTTCGTTTGACTCTTTTCATTTATTCTAACGAAAAGATAAGTATGTATGTGTTGATGAAAAAAACAAAACTGATACAGAGTATTTGGTTTGTCGGAAATTTTGATATCTTTCGCAACTTTATTGAGGACAACGTGGATAAATGAAGCATTGCTTGTGTACTCTCTTTGTTATTATGCTTATTAGTCTTCTAATTGATTCGATGCATACAACAACAGATGTCAACTCCACCGAGTTCAACGATTTCATCAAGTCTCACTCCACTTTTGACGAACTAACTGAGTCGAAAAAATCATTTACGAATAACTTGTCAAAATCACGCATCTGCTTCTTTTCGGGTAATAAGACAAATACAATGTATCCGAACACTACGTTTACATTGTTCATCGAAGTTAATTCTTCTAAAGAAAAATCGTTTGAGATTAAAACAAATTTAAATGAATTCATATACAAATTGAAAGAAACTATTCGACAACGAACTGGATATCGTTGTGATCAACAACGACTACGACTCGTTTCACATGAATATTTTGACTTGCAGCGAAAAGTACAAGATGGTCATAAATTGGGTGATTATGTTACGGTTGTCAATAACACGTGCAGTTATAAATTGAGAGTCTATAAGCGGAATAGAAACAAAAATATTCGATTTGACTCAATTCCAAATGTGACACATTATGAGTATGTCAAGATGAGTTCTCATGTTTATCAACCGACTGAACCATTTCTCGATGATTGGCATGTAATACGATATGATCTACCGAACAAAAATGGCTTAGCTCTTGCTGTTTATATTAATCCAGAACGTCATCAATGTGTAATATCCATTCGAGGAACTGATTTAACGTCGAGTTTTTTAAATAATCCTATTACTGATCTACGCTTATTATTTACCAATCAAGCGATAGACACATTTGATTCAGCTCGTTTATTGTTATTTCATGATCAACCATTACATATTCCACGCCGAGATTCAATTCCATACGTTATATCCTTCACGGGCCATAGTTTGGGAGCAGCACTCGCCGAAAGTTTTGCTTGTGTATACAATGCCTATGCGGTGACATTTGACTCTCCCGGAACGAAACATATTTTAGAAAATGATCCATCTTGTCGAACAAACATAGAACTTGGCTACAATTCTAAAGAACGCATTCACACATATTTAGGTGCCTATGCAAATTTAGTTAATGTCGCTAATTCACAGTTTGGTCAAGTTATGTATTTAAAACGATTTGGTTCTAATAATGATAATGATTCAGCGTATTTTTTCTACATTTATTCTTCAGCAGCTAGTGTTTATTTGGCTGCATGCATTTTTGCAAACATTATCGATAAAAGTATATTTAAATTGGGTCTCTCGTTTACTATTGGGTATTTCATTTGGAAATCTGCTATCGTGTATTTTATGAGCAGTTTTTTCGAACTAAATTCAAAAATAACTGATACATTGAACTGTTATATTAGCGAACTGCCGTTTATCATAACAGTTTTCCTTCTGTGTCAGTCAATCAGCGCTTTAGCTGATAACATAGAACGCTGGACAGGTCAAATATTGCCTCGGATTTTATTGAGAAACACACCATTATTAGGTGGGATAGTTGCTTTTATTCAGCAAAATATCAACTTCAATCGTGTTGTTTGGCGATTTGCACTCTTGAGCATGTATCTTTTACTTTCATTTTTGGTCAGCATCGGTATTCCATTATTTTGTTATTTGTGGTGGTTAAAATCAGCTCATTCAATAAACAAATTTGTCGAATCATTTGATCCAGAAGATGGAAGACCTTATCAGGGGCACAGTATCGAGTCGACACTGTGGCCAACATTATTTGATTACGTTACAAAAACATCTTCCAGGCAATTTCTTCTATTCTTATTGATCATTCAAAGTATGAAATTAGTGGCTTTTTATCTACTTCCACCGTTTCTTCCCAGATGGTTTCGATTAAATTTTATTCTTTTATTATTTGCTACATTTTTCAACATCGATTCTGTAGAATATTTAATAGTTATGGTTATTATATTTTTTCTTGTGGCTATTCCAGCGTCTCAACGACACAATCAGCATTATACTAGAAATATAGTATGTGCTATATCTGGTTTATTAGCTATGGCGCAAATCATGAACGAAAGACATGAGATAAACAAGTTTTACTGTGAATTGATAGGCTGTCCATTCATGCTAGCACCATTTATCAAAAGGCTTCGATTGTTTGGATAGATAGCTTTTGTTTTAGTTGTCAGCCCGTTGAATATAATCGACTTATCAATAAAACAACCTGGAGACAAATTCGATTTCTGAAATCTTGGCTCGAGTGATATAATTTTGTAAGCCTACTATCATTCTGCATTTAACTGAAGTGATTGATACTGATTCGATACTGAAAATTGCCTGTCGTTTTCACGAAACCATTTAAATTAAGAAGTTATCGACGAACGAACGCCAA